AAAATGCATGAATCTGTAGTGACCTACTTTTCTCGACGAGAATGCGATTGGTATAATGGAAACAATTACTATTATAACTAATTGTACCAGTGATTGTTCTACTGTATTCGTTTTATTTAACTCTATCAAAATGACGTTTCGTTCGGTCGCCCATCTTGTTTGTTCGAACTTTCTTGTTCTCTTCCTTTTTGCCTGTACTCGTTGGCACTTCTCGGTATTCTTTCGATACCACGAGATCGCCCACAAATATACTTTATCTGGACCAGTTACAGCCTTCTGGTTTACGAGCTCTCAAAGGAACCAAGTCGTGGTGATCATAGTCAATCGAGACTAGACGCCATCTACAAAACTATACGGCAAACAGATTATATCCCTAGATATTGCTTCCTCATTTTCCAATTCACCATTAACCGAGACAGTCGATTCTGTACATCAACAGCTTGAAAAACAGATTGGTATTGGAATTTTCGAAGTTAGTCACAAAGAATAGCTTTTAAAAGCACAATGAACGTTCATTTCACTTTTAATAGCACATAATAATGACAATTTGGTGAAAAAGCTAGTGGGTTCCCCTCTAGGCTCTGTCGTAGATGATTTTCTTTCCCATAAAACTCTAAAATAGACCTCTCAAGGATGTTAGAGATAAGATTGACATTATTGTCTATTCATCGATGACACTCATTACCGTGGTCCAAAATAATGGAAAGGGTAAACTCCTGGGGAAATTTAGACAGTAAACTCACATTGTAGAAGTATGTATCAGTTCGAATGAAAACATGTCGGTCTCCACCTCAAACTTCATCTACCCTCCCATTAGTTGTTAACACAGTCAACAAACAACTTACCCACAATTGATTAGTACTCATAAAATTCATAGGAATAATTTGACTTTTCACACTCACTAGCTAGTGACTACCTTTCGCGCACATGAAGTTTTTATTGATTCATAACAATACACTATCACAACAGACGATATTCTGGCTTTTGCCTATTCTCTAGTAAATTCATAGTGCTACTAGGAGAATTGACCTGCTCAAATAATCAGTTAATGGAATATCATATATTGAAGTCAAAAGGAGAGGAAAAAGCTTCTACAAAACATGATAAGTTTCATTTCCTTGATGTTTTGGGCATCAGCGCAAAAGTCATCGACCCATTTTAGGCAGTTACACAATCGGGTAGTTCAACCATACATACCCTGAACAGTCCCAAAGGAGAAGAAAAACGGCAATCCCTGGATAGGCCGTGATATTCGACGTTTACTAAAACAAAAGGAGAAATGTTGGGATGTTGTTTTCAACCTTGGCACAGCAGGTACGTTGGAACGCTGCAGATAGGTAAGAAACACTCGTATAATTTAAATTCGGAAAGCTCAGAGAAAATATGAAATGCAGTTGACACAATCTGCACTCAAGCAGCCAAGGTGTGTTACCTACGGACTGGAAGGATGCAGTCGTCACTACCATGCATAAAACGGGACCAAGATAACTTCCATCGAACTACAAACCTGTCAGACTGACCAATGCTGTAGTCAAAATACTGGAGAGAATAGTCAAAAAGACCATAGTAACATTTGTGGAAACCAATAGCTTGTTAAACAGCGAACAACATGGTTTCATAATAGACCTCCTTGTAGCAAGGAAGCAATAGATAGAGGCTCTAGACAACGAAAAATTAGTGGATGTTGTCTACATAGACTTCATCAAAGCATTCGAAAAGGTGCCAACAAATAGACTGCGATTGAAGCTATAGAATCTTGGCACTGCCGGACGTCTTTCAAAATGACCTAAGAATTTCCTAGTAGGTCGAAGACAGAAAGTAAGAGTAAACTCGAAGTGCTTCACCTGGAGACTAATACTTAGTAGAGTACCGCAAGGTTCTGTTCTATGTCCTTTACTTTTTGTATTGTTTGCAAATGATCTCCCAAGTATAGTTCAGTCCCCAATGTTATTATACACCAAAGATGTGAAAATGTGGCGAGAAATAACAGGAGATACGGATGCATGCGCGCTTTAGGCAGACTTAAATATTGTGATGTACTGGTCTGAAGAGTGGCAAAGTGTGTCCATATTCACTTTGGGGATATGACGTTAAATAGGTACAGCACAAGAGAAGTGACTGTACCTGTGATCTGTCTCACTAGGACCTTGGGGTGACAGTGAATTATGATCCTAAGAACGCGGCCCATAGCCGAGAGGTAGCAGTCAAGAGTTTTAGAACCCTATGGGTTTTAAGACGAATATTCACAAAGTCAGATACTACCATGTCCACTACAGTATTCACAACCTTAGTAATAACTATGCTTGAAAGCCGCGTTCAGGCCGCGAGCTACTGTTTAAAAGGTGACTCAAATATCCTGGAAAAGCTACAGAGGGCTGCTACTTGTGCGATTCTAGGGCTCCGGGGTTTACCATTAAAAGAGCGTCTTGAAAAGTTAGACCTCCTTACTCTCTCCTATTCCAGATTAAGAGGTGATCTGATTTTGATGTATAGAATACTAAGAAATGATTTTGGACTTAATATATTCTCTCTTTTTCTTCCCACTAAAGCGGAACATCTCAGAGGACATAGCAGGCGAGTAGAAAAGCAAATAACGAACAAAAAATCGTGGTGTGTAGGTTTACACAGCGAGTCATCATTTTTTGGGACGTGTTACCTGAAGCAGTGGTGTCCGCAACTTCAATCGACTCATTCAAGAGAAGATTAGACACTCGCAGAAGCATACCAGAAAAGGAACAACATAAGCTGTATGCCTTATGTCCTTACAACACAAATCCTCCCTGAGGAGAAGCGATCACGCCTTCAGTTTTGTCAGCAAAACTGAGCTAAGATATCCCCTCAACAACAGGCTCTGGAATTTCACACACTTGAATATGTCAGCTTTACAGGACCATCTACAACAGGTGGATTTGGATGTTCACCCTCAACTTGAAGTGGATGCTCATTGGGATTTCTTACTGCACACACTCTTATGTGCTACTAAGCATTCAGTCCTTTAAACGGTCCCGAAAGCTACAAACAACCTACAGTCATCAAAAATCACACTCATCGTTTACTAAGCTGCAAAAGGAACTGTTAAGCTGAATACAAACGAACTGATAACAATGGCGCGTACAGGCATTACAAACATATAAGGAACACATGAACAAAAGAAATAAGAGAAGACAGGCTTCAGTACCAGACCAAACTGATCGACAAATTTGTCTCCAGTCCGAAAAGCTTATTTCGTTACGCAGCTTCTCTTCGACAAGCCAAAATTGGAGTTTCCCAACCGCTAGGTCCTGATGGTCTAACCGATAACGACGATGATGAACAATACTCTCGAACATTTCAACCGACCCATACCAACCATACTGATGAAAGCTTCATCTGTAACTGCACAGAACTTTCCGAAGTGAACCTGAGAGCCGACTTGGTGTTCTGGAAACTGCAGCAAATAAGGAAAGATACTTTTAATGGTCCGGATATGGTTCATTCTGCTATGCAGAGGGAAGCAGCTTCAATCCTGGCAACACTGCTTAGCGTGACGTTCTCACACTCGCTGAGTCGAGGCAAACTACCGGAAATTTGGAAACTGGCTCACATCACACCAGTTTTCAAAGGAGGTCGACGCAGCGAACCCTCAAGCTACCGACCGGTGGACCTTGCTTTCTGTATGTCTAAAATTATGGAGTCCCTGATATGCGATGGTATACACAACTACTTATTATCCTTCAAGTTCTCACCCCAACAGCATGATTTCAGTAAGGGTCACTCTTGTATAATCAACCTGCTGACTGCGGTAGATAGATGGACAACCATCCTAGATCGCAAGGGGAAGGTTGACATCATTTATCTTGACTCCTCAAAAGCTTTTGATAAGGTCAACCATATATGTCTTATCAATCAGCTTAAATGCTTGGGTATCAAACCACCTCTAATTGACTGGCTCACTTCATATATAAAAAATAGACATTTTAAGGTCAGAGTGAACTTCACTTTCTCTCAGGTTATGGAATATCCTAGTGATGCCCCCCCAGGGCTCAATACTAGGACCTCTTCTCTTCCTGATTTATATAAACGATCTTCCACAAGTGTCGCCTGACTTATTGCCTTTTGCTAATGATGTGAAACTTTGGAGAGAGATACGAAACCAAGAGGATATACTGGCACTTCAAGAAGATCTGACCTGACTTCAAAGTTGAGTAGACGACAACATACTTACCTTCAACACTTCAAAGTGTAAATTAGTCCATCTGTGACATGTTGCAGACTACATTTACAACTTGGGGAACTCCTCTTTAAAAGTATCTCAAGTCGAAAAGCATTTAGGAGTGTTGGTACACTATGACGCTTTTCCAGCAAACCTTGCACTGGTAACATTGAAGCGCAATTTTGGCCAGTTTGACGGTAGAACCTTCCACATAATCTTCAACAGTTTTGTTTGTCCCCATTTAGAGTACGAAACATAGTATTTCCTCCCTCACTCCAAAAGAATAAGGACACTCTGGAACGTGTCAAACGGAGAGCCACAAAATCAGTTCGGGGACACAAATTCGAGCCTTATGAAGAGCGCCCTCCAATCACTAAACCCTTACCTGCTAGAGTAAAGGCGTCTTAGAGGTGACCTTCTAATGACTTGCGGTATACTTAACACTTTTGTTAACCTCCTTAAACATCTACTTAAGCTTAGTCACAATATCAACCTGAGGTATAACACCTTAAAAGTTGTCAGATGCTGAAATTTGCTGCCGACTGAGCTAGCCTAAGCGACTTCCCAGGAGTCCTTTAAGAGGAAACTTGACCTATTCTTTAAGACTAAGGAGATAACATCTTATTATGATTTACCACTTTCTTTTTTTCCTATTATCATTATTATACCTAGGTTCTTGCCTGAAGGTATTGGTGATCCACTGCTACTAGACACGGAAGCTCGTTAAGCAAAAGCTTCTTCTATTCCGTCCACAATCATTTGAACCATTTGAATTTACATCTGATTCTTGAACGTGCGTTGGCGTGGTGTTTAAGACTTGCGTTATGGCTAAGTTTGGAGCCAAGGTTAGAGAACTGCGCTTTCTCGTTGCTCATACTGCTCCTTCGAGCGCTGGGATTAGGTTTGTTAATTGCCCGTTTTGTCCAAAACCCATCTTTATTTTCTGGGCATTTTCATTCGCTAGATTTGTTTTTTCATCGACTAAATAAAATATAAAGTTTCGCACTTAAGTGAGTAAAGTTTAGTCACCTTTCAGGAATAACCGGACTATTTGTTCACGTTGATAACTGTAGCAGCAATTCAGTTACTTTCGCTTGTTTAAGCAGTCAAAAGTCCGAAGTATAGGGTTCCATTTTTAATAGTCAAAAGGGTTTTATATATTTGTTATTGTCCATCTACTCAAGACCACTGTAAACGTTTTGCAAGTCTACCTGTTATTCAATTTTCCTTACTGCTATGATCATATATGTCAGTCTCTGAGTACATACTAATTCTAAGTGGATCGTTAACATTTGTCTTACCCTCTTAGTCCTTTGGTTTAGATTGCTTACGTACGTTACTATCACTTTTAAAAAAATAGTGCAAATTATCTCAGGATATCCCAAAATGGTCATACCTCTCGTGTTGCAGGAAGTCAGTCACTAGTTTTCCCTTAAGTATTCCCTTGACCCATTCATTTTTTAGAGGAACCCAGGGATCTTGCTAGTGTACTATTTTCGTGATGAAAACCCTAAGTATAATTCCTAGCCTTAATCATGAACTGTAAATCATAATTTGAATTCTTCACACAGGTTTATAACCCTCATTTGGTCTTAGTTATTATGTTGACACTCTCAGAGTCACTCTAGCGTCGCTCAAAGGTTGTCCATAACTTATAGTCTCACCCATAACCCTAAACCCTACACCTAAACCTTAACTCTAACCCTAACCCGTAAACCATACCAATATACTAACATTATTGAAGCTATGTGGTCGAGGCTAAAAGAATTTTTGAGACCTTATCATGGTTTCAGAGGTCGACTACTATGGAGCCATATGGATGTGTTTCTGTACCGTATGCACTATGATTTTAGAACTTCTGAACCTATATCTGACCTTGAGAAGTTTTTGAGTAATGTAAAAGAACAGTATCCCCTTTAATTTTTGAGTTCTGTATAATATATTTTTACTGTATAATAACTGCCTTCTGATTGGCTAATATTTCTCAAGGTCATTCAAGATTCGTTCAAAGGTCGGCAGTATAGTTTAATCCTACCCTATTTTTTTATATCTACTTAAGTCCGGAGATGTAATTGTGTCGTATAGTCATAGGGATCCCAAACTATGTGCCAGAAATAATAAAATTTTATCGATCATCTTAGTAATAGTCGATGGCGATGTAGTATTTGTATTTACAGTATTGTGTAGGTGTAAATGTTAGCTAGATTTTAATTGTAGTTTCTATGTAAATAACAATAAAACGCTAAAGACCACTAGTTTAAGGTCTAAGCGATTATTATGACTAGGGTTTAGAGAATTGGGGTAACATGGTTTAAAATTTTCCACAAGTGCGCAGGTATATTCATTCTTAATTTTTCCTAAGTTTCCGAACCTCAAAGTTTTGTTATATCTTTTTATTTTTTTCTACACCTAGTCTTTTCTGCTACCGTTGGTATTATTGTTACTTCTACTCCCCTGTGCTGGAACTTGGACCAACATACTTATGTGTTAGGTTTGACACTACATATAAATGATGACTTTCGTTCGTACGTATGATCAGTCAGTCAGCTACAACGTAGGACCAAGCACATATATGCATCGGTCCAAGTTGCCATACCTCGTTAGCACAACAAGATGAACACCAGATTCATAGAAGTAGTTAATTTACAACCTCAAGTGGTGTCCGTCAAGGCTGTCCACTATCCCTATTTTTGTTTGACTTCATTATAGACCTGTTGCCTTTTCGTCGTTTCTGCCTACGCTCCCACTGACTGCAGCCATGATAAAGTGAGAGATGACTTTTACAGAAAACTCTCTGAGCTTCTTCAGAAAGCTAAGCGCTCAGACATAGTAGTCGTAGCGGGTGACTTTAATGCCCAGGTAGGCAGCTTAAATCAAACAGAAAGACATTTAGGTGGGTGTTTTAGTATTCCGGCTCAACGAACCGATAATGGTGATCGTCTGTTGCAACTATGCTCAAACAATCGTTTATTTTTAGCAAGCACTAATTTTAAGCATAAGGAGAGACATCGTCTAACATGGCAACCACCTGCACCAAACCAACGATGGACTCAAATAGACCATATTGTCATCAGTCATCGTTGGAGAGGCTCAATAGAAGATTGTCGCTCGTATTGGAATACTTGTTTAGACTCTGATCACGCTTTAATACGAGCGCGCATTTGTCTGCGCCTCAATGGACGCAGGAAAAGTACACTAAAAAGACCCATTAGGATTGAACTGGAGGACGAGAAAGCCAAATGCGAAGACACACGAACAGCTGTGGAAACAGCAGTAACATCTATTAGTTATTTAAACCATAGGGTTCCTAAAAACCAGTGGATTTCCTCTAAGTCTATTTCACTGATGGATTCGCGTAAACTCATTCCATCAGGCTCTGAACACGACAAAGAGCGGAAACAAATCAAATATAGGTTAACTAAAAGTCTAAGGAACGATCGTGAGCAGTGGTGGGCAACGAAAGCAAAAGAGATGGAAAAGGCAGCGGCTGTAGGCAACACCAGGCAACTATTCAGACTAACAAAAGAAACCGGGATTAAGAAGTCAAGTGTAAGTCATCAGTTTTCAGCTTTCAGAAAATCATGTCTAATTTCTACCACAGCATACTAATATTGATGAACTCGATATAAATTTATATTGGAAATCGACAACACACCTCGCGGATTATCATGCGTGCGAAAATAAAATATTTAGTTCTGACCACGAGTCCATGTAGCTTTTCTGCCCAATATGGAGGGCTGCCTTACGGTTTTTCTTCTGTCTTTCGATTTTTCAGTTCTCATTGCCAGTAATTCAGTAGTCGTCTTCCACTTTGTCTAATATTCCCTACAATCGTGAAGAAATGTTAGATTGGATAACAATCCACAATATATCATCGTTAGTCATGTGGTTTGTTTATCTAAACCATCTTGTTTCTATGCATAATTAGCTAAAACATTCATTTGATTTCATTTACTGACGATTTTAAACCATGTGAATTTCTTGTTCCTCTATCAATGAATGCTTTATTTGAGTGTCAAGTTTCCTTTTAGCGTTGGCTTGTTACGAGTGTGCAGATGTATTCGTATTCTCACTATAGAAAATGTCAACAATAAAACAGAAAACAGTCAAACATTTAGGGATAAATGTCCTACTATTTATTGGCCTGTGAGTGCTCTGGTAGGGCTGAGAGTGAAGATAATCCATTATCCTTTTAGCAATGTCCTCCTATGGCTACGCTCTTATAGCTTTTGCCAGGTATGATTACTGCGTTTTTATAAGTCGCCAAGGTTTATTTAGACAATCTACAGTTCTCATTTTTCTGTAAACCTACAGGGATTTCATTTCACGTCACTATCTGTCTCTAAAATCTGCCAATCCTCATGTGAAGTTTATGATTCGTGAATCAGAAGGGATCACACCAAAAGTGTTTGCTCGTTATGGTTAGTTTATTTAGTTTTTTATTGTTTACTTTCTTGTTATAGAGATGGGGAAGGAAGACTATATTTCAGTGGCAAATAACACAGCTGATGATATAATTTCGAGACTGAAAACTCTAGATCGAGTATAAAATGTTTTTTTGTAACAATTCTACGCAAATTAGTTTACAATTAATAACTTTGAGGACAAATAGCATTGTTGTAATTTTTATTCATTTGTGTCAGCAAAAGAAATATTCAACTTGTTAAAATATAAGTCAATTTTGGGTGAGCATATGTTTTTCGTGAATGTGAAGTCCTAATCCCAGACTCGTTTGCTTGACAAAACGGCAGACTATTTTTTTAAGGACCTGATGTAACGGGTTAACATCTCGCATAATAGGGGATCGTTTTCAATTGCTTAATTTATCGACAAATGACACGAAAAATCTATTGAGGAATATTATTCATATTACAGAGTAACCAATTGGCGATAGGCTGTTACATAAATAGGTTGGATGCATCTGGGCTTTAAGTCGTTCACAACTCTATCGATGTCTTGTAAATTGCCGTATGGAAGTATCAAATGTGTCGACTATTAAAATGTAGTCACGTTGATATTTACTATAGGAATTACATTTATGATAAAGTGACACTAGATTAATTATTCCTACTTTTTTGTCCTTTTACATGGAATTCAAGGTGAATATATGTAGAGAACATTTAAATTATTCACACAAAATTAGTGATGGCTTTTGGGGAATTCTGAGTTTCTTTTAGGTATTTCGTGACTTTCAGTGGATCAGTAGACTGAAATGGACATTATTTGTCTAGTACATTCACTTGTAAAACTGCTAACAAATATACCTATATTGACCACTTTTTAACAAGGCGTGATAACTGTGTTACATATAGTCTAATGACCATTCTCAAAGTACTAGATCAATATTGCTTTTCGCATGTATGCTACTTATAAGAATTTAGTATGGGTCTTTTATCCGTAACACGTTTTTTCTTTGGAAAAGTTCTCATTTCACTATTTTTAGTCATAATACTTATTGTGCGAATCAAGTATCTATAATCAAAAGCTTTCGAAATCGTAGTTTTAAGGTTAATATGAGCTTAAAAAAATGCCGTCTGCCCACTAGGATTAAAAAACAGTCATAAGTTATTGTGGTGAATCAGAATCGGGATTTAGAGTTAGAAATTAGAGTAAGGATTTTCATCACGAACTAACATCATCTATAACGCTAAAATGCTACTTAGCCACGTGAATGAATGAATTTCGCGCCAAAATCCAAGACTCACCGTCGTAAATGTGGTTAGTTCGTCCACAAATTATAGTCTTGCCGTAGGTAAATGCCCTATATTATCATGGATGACAGGCTTCACGCTTTAAGAATAGATATTAAGTTCATTCTCTCAGTCTTTACTACATTGACATTCAAGTCACTTGTTGTATATTCTCTTATAGTACTTGTTAATATTCAGTAGTCAGTTTCACTTCTAGTAATTTTTGAACGTGTGGTGTAACGCGCGTTCATTTGTAATATTCCTATGTATCTAAATAAACTGAAAACATTTACTGTATTTATTATTGTAATCACATTCCCTCAATCCTTGTAACAGTTATTTACGGTTCCTGTTCGTCTCTTGAATCTTTGAACGCATCAGTTTCCATATTTGTGTGCCTCTATGGAATTAACAGGTTTATACATTTGCTTTATCTCTATTAGTTATTTGAACAGTAATTGCTTGCACTAAGAAACACACCATTTAAAGATTGTGAAATTCATGTATGATGATCATCTGCAGTTACAGACAAATCACACTCGCTGCATTATGGTTACGTAATAGAACACTGAAAGAAAATTTTACATGGTCGTTTGTAATTTCATTTTTGTGCCGTATTTATTTTGTCTCAATCCATCAATTTAACATAGATCTCTGGGTTAGTCGACCTTAATAACTTCAAAGCAGAGAGTGTTTGAAACCAAGTAAATTTTGTTATGTTGGATTTAATGTATCGGTTTGAATGTATTTTGGTCTACCAAAGTTTACTGAACGGACTGTTTTGTTCAGATTCATCTAAACTCGTGGCGATGATTTTAAAATACGTGTAATATGAAAAACGGACATGAACTGATGAATTTTTGTAAAAAAATTAACGACGATTATTTTACGTGACATTCTCATTGCATCCTTATCACAAATTGACAACAGTTTGTATTAGTGAATAACTCCTCTCTCCCGAAGAAATGATTTCGTAAACATTTGTCATTGATTATAACCTTGTTAATCTTAGTGAACAATAGATAACTTTCAGTCAAGCATCACTACCAAATCAGTATAAGCCCCACTATGAAACCCGTCTGCTATAGGTAGCCAGTTTAGAAACTTCACGTTATGTTACCTCTACATAAAATCAAACCTTAATTTCCTTCCGACCATGATCTCCTTCTCCCTTGTTTGCCTTCAGGCAAAACTACAGTAATATACTTGTAAAGTAGTTCTGTCTGATTTCATGTATTCAGTGTGTTTTTAAGTTAAAAAGAAACAGTCGTAAACCCTTCGCTACCCTCGTAGCTCCTATTTTTCACTACACAATTACATAGAGTCTTATTTCACATTAACAATAACAACTTGCCTTGTTATTAGGTATTTTTGAGCTTCACTTATCTTACTATGCTATTCTATCAAATTTTGTGATTATTATTGAGTGACCTGGACATGATTTTTCATTTTATGGAAACATGTCTCTAGGTGTTTTAAATTTTCCTGGAATTCCCACATTTAGTAACATAAATGATCATACACTTTATAATACCGAAGCTCTTGCTGTCCTGCCAGTCTTCACTAATGTGATATAAATTAATGTACATTGGTTCTAAACAAATATTATTATCATCTTTTAGTTGTACGGAGCTGATGCAAATCCACGGAATAAATGAATTCACCTTATTCTGCTACGCTCGTTCTTGCTTTATCATAAGCTAAAGGTGTTTACCGTAGTAGGTAGTATCTATTCTAGTCTAGTTATGATCCTAGACTTTGAGATGGTAGAGATTTGTAGCTCAGATTGAAGTTGAAAGAACGACCAAACCTTCCAGCTCAGAGAACAAAACTTCACCTAAATGTTCCTAGACTTCATATCAATTTTGATTAGCATGCTATCGTTAAGTTACTGATTCGATACTAACTGATCGATTTTCTATATATCGCTTAACCTTTAATAAAGCATGTATTTTGTCAACAAGTATATATCTTCATTCAATATTTCGATCAGACCTTCCGCAACACTAAGAATTTGTATTTACAAAGAATTGGACTATTATTCACTCTGATACTTTAGATTACCTAATCACTGTCAAAAATGCCCTTGATTCACAAACGAGTGGAATATCTATGAAGATCTGTTTACGATATGTTGAATAGAAATTTTTCTAATCCTATTTGACATGAACTTTACTGGGATTACGTATACAGAGCAGCTCCTATTACCCATGCAAATCATGGACTGCAAAAGCAAGTCGAAAGTTCAATCCTAGAATATCTAATTAATTTTAGTCATGTTGCGTCACTGGTATTCTTCAAAATCACTCTTACAGTCAGAAGAATCGGTTCGGAGGAAATACAGATTAAAATCGTGTGTACAACAGTTGGTTTTTCTATCTAAACTTCGTGTTCGAAAAAGATATGTTCAATCCCTCATAGTATACTATACATAGTAAACTTATTAGCAAAAATCAAGTTCGCAAAAATAGTGTAAGATCGCTAGTGGTTTATACAACAAGAGTTGCTTATTTACTTACGTCTGTTGCCCCTCGTCGAGGAGCATAGCTCACCAACCAGCATCCCCCATCCCACTCTGTCTTGGGCAATCCTTTCTATGTCTGCTTCCAATTCTTGGGGCCATTTTTTTGTCCTTCCTCTTTTCCATTTACCTTCAGGATTCCAAGTTATGATTTGCTTCGTGAAACAGTTGGATTTTCGTAATGTATTTCCTATCCATACATACATATGTGCCACACAATAACAATGAGGTCAGTAGCAGTTATCATTGATTTGTGTGAGGGATGTGATACTGCCCGGGCGCCCGAACCGTAGCAGGTAGTTTCCTTAGGGGCCACACCCAGAGCTTTTGACCTGAATGTCTAATCCACAAGGCAGTGGAGCAACGTAAGGAAATGCAGTACCATGGTAGCCGGTGACGGATAATAGGTTCATACTCCATTTGTTCCCTCAGGACCTTGGACCCCATGTGCACCATTGGTTTAAAATAAATGTTTTCCAACTTCCCATAGGTGGATCCTCCATATCCACCAACCAGGTTAAAGATTCGGTTTTCGTCCTCTCAATTTTGTAAACAACAGTAATACCAAAAGAAGGCAATGAGTAGAACAGCTTTCTGTTTGCATATACCTCTTGAACACCTCTATCAACAAATTTAAAATGTTTTTATATGAACTGATATGTTTTTTTGTAATGATACATAATTTTTAGTTCACATAAAAGTTTCCTATACTTCTTGTTTGCTTCTACGTTATTATTGTTGCTTCATTTATTTTGGGTAAACCATATAGTCGTGGCGTATAAGATCCAGTCGGTTTAATAGAATCATGAATCTCTTGTGTAATTATTCCCTTATTCTTTAAATCCTTAAGAGAATTAGTCAATTGGTTTTCCACTTTTTTATTGATATCGTAATGACTGATGACTTTTTGAAATTTACTGGGATCACCAGTCATTACGATATCAATAAAAAAGTGGAAAACCAATTGACTAATTCTCTTAAGGATTTAAAGAATAAGGGAATAATTACACAAGAGATTCATGATTCTATTAAACCGACTGGATCTTATACGCCACGACTATATGGTTTACCCAAAGTTCATAAACCAGATCTTCCACTGCGCTCAGTCCTAGATATGTTCAATTCCCCTTATCACAAAATTGCAAAGTGGCTAGTACGTATCTTAGAACCCTTGCTTCATTTATTTGTCGAAAATGAATTAACTCCATTCTGAAAATTGTACAAGAATGATTATCCTAATTCCAATCAATTGAAAGGGAATAGTAAATATTTTCTGGAAGCTGACACAGAAAACAGCTGACAAGTGAACCTGATGTCTAAATCATTTTAATCGAATCTACTTAAGCAACCACTTGACAAAGTGTTTTATATATGAACGTATTTAACTGTTTTACTGAAGGCTACAAAGACGAAGTATACTTTAAAGACTTAATCATATTTTAATTGGTTGTTTATTGGCATGACAACTAAACCTTAG